ACTAATATAAAGGAGAAAATGGGTAGGGTATTTTCTTATAATATAAAACAAACATATGGATTAATTGTTGTTATATTCCATCACAACAACAATTATGCTTCAATCAAAGCAAGTTCAGACGGAGTAATATGAATTTTTACTATCCATGCATGTGTATTGCTCTATTTATGTTCATCTCAATCCAATTATATAGGAATATTGTATACGGTCAAAATCAGGTTTGCCCTTTTTGTATGGCTAATCGAGACCAAAACATGATGGGCCAGGGTTCAACCTCGAGTTATATCGAACCATGATGCTGTATTGGGAAAAATCAAGTTAACGTTTGATTTTAATTATATGCTGACATGACAAGACACGTGGATTAATAAAAGCGTGACAACTGGCAGAGAGTATTTGAAGGGCTATGAGACTTAACAGGTACGGGCAAGAATACCAGAAAATGAGAAGGGATGGTTACTCGGACCTCTTGGTAATTTGAAGAGATATCGGAGGAATGAACCTAGATAGCAAAAAGTACAGATGCGTATTATCCATAATTAATGAGCATCAATGATGGAAAACGTTACAGAATCGTCACGAAACAGTTACGATTGCTAATTATAACATTACATTAATGCCATTAATTGCTCATAATGACTCTGTTGTGAGAAGAAAGAAACGTATTACTTAGAAGTAGCTATAAAAGGAGAGGAATAAATATTTGTAAGGACACAAAATATTATTGGAACACACTGAGTTACTTTTCTTTCTTTTACTCAGCTATCGTTTAAATCAATTCTTCTTATTTGTTCCAAATTTGATTATCAGTAACCCGAGTTCTTCTAAAATTTAGCTTTGACCGAAATTTCTATTTTCTGGTTAAACAAATTGGTTCCGTTATCGGGAATATGATAATCTATTACTTTTTAAATCGACTCTTTTGTCAAATCAATCATGTCGAATGTCAATGACAACAACCCAAGAGACCATCAACACCAGGAGAATCCTCAAGGCAATGGAACCCCGGTCCCTTCCCCACGAAATTCTCCTCGGCAATCTCGAGAAGGAACTCTTGATGGACCTCAGTCAAATATGAATGATTAGTTTGAAAATGATGAGGCTATTAATGAAGCTTTGAAAAAGTTGATCGCTCAACAGGTCAGCAATGCTCTTGAGGCTTTCGCTAACCAGCTGCCGGTTGTGCCACCAACACCTACTCCCAACAACAACACTTTAAAAAATCCTCGCTTATGACTCGTTAACTCGGGCAGTGGAGGAACTCCTAGCAAATCTCGTGATGGAGGGTCAGGTAACCCAGTTAATTCTGATTTACAAAATTTAGTACTAACTTTGCAGAAACCGCTCAAGGAGCAGAGCGACCGCATCGAGCAAATACCTGGAGTGCCGCCTGTAATCAAGGGAATAGACATGGACAAATATTCACAACAACCTTGGAAGCCAAGTGCTGCTCCTCTGTCCATTTCGAAGAAATTCAACATACCCGATATTCCGAAATATGATAGAACAACTGATCCACGGGATCACTTAACTGCATTCACAACCGGTGTAAAAGTCAACGACTTGACCAAGAAATAAATTGAATCAGTATTGGTCAAAAAATTCGGAGAAACGCTCACTAAGGGAACATTAACATGGTATTCTCTTTTACCCAAAAATTCTATAGATTCTTTTGCTGAGCTTGCAAATTCATTTATCAAGCACACTCGGGAGCTAAAAAAGTTGAAAAAAAATAGAGGACATTTTTAAAATAAAGCAAGGAGATGCGGAGCTGCTCAGGGAATTCGTAGACAGATTCCAGCGTGAGAGGATAATGTTACCACGTATACTTGATAACTGGGCAGCTATGGCATTTGCCAGTAATCTAAATTAAAGAAGTTCAGAAGACACGAGGAGACTCAAGGAAAGTTTACGAGAGTTTCCAGCAACAACTTGGAATGATGTTTATAACAGATACAACACAAAGCTGCCGATAGAGGAAGATACCATCATTCAATCTCGAAGGGATGAAAGGGTAAGTTCAAGATGAGCTGAAAATGAAAAAAGGTCCGGTAAAAATAGGTACGAGCTCTACATGGGACCAGCAGGAAGAGACTCACGTTCAAAACAGAAAAACCCAAGGTACGATCATAGATAAAGAGATAGAGAGTCAGGTTCATCATCAAGGTTCAAAAAAGAACGAAACTCATGAGAGACACGAGATGATGACAAAAGCTCGAAGGCAAAGATCGACGATTACAGTTTTAATGTTAGCACATCTGAATTGGTGGCTATTTTAAGAAGCATGGGAGACAAGGTATGCTGGCCAAAAGAAATGAGATCAAATCCGAACAGGCGAAATCCAGATTTTTGGTGCGAGTTTCACAATGATCACGGTCACAAATGACGAATTGTAGATTGCTGCAAGGTGAAGTTGAACATTTATTAAAACAAGGGTATCTAACCGAACTATTTAGTGAAAAGGGAAAGCAAGCATATATGAAGAATAGGCAGGAGCCTCCAAAAACCCCTTCACCAAAAAGGACAGTTAATGTCATAAGTGGAGGAGAAGAGATAAATGGTGTAACATATACGGCAGCAAAGAAAGTGTCAAAAATAACAGTTACACACGGGAAGCGAGTTCGACAAGTTTTGGAAGAAGATAGTATTACATTTGATGATGCAGATGCAGATGGCGCGCTAACCCCGCATAATGATGCACTGGTAATATCTTTACTTGTACATGACACTAATGTAAAACGAGTTTTGATTGATCCAGATAGTTCCGTGAATATCATTCTGTTAAGAGGGTAAACGAGATGCAAGCTGATGATAAGCCGGTACCCAAGGCACACACCTTGTCTAGCTTTGACAATTCGAGCGTCGTAACATAAGGGGAGATAATACTCACCACATTCGCAGAAGGAGTGGTCAAAGATACGAAATTTCAGGTAGTAGAAATGGATATGGCCTACAATATGATTCTCGGTAGACCATGGATTCACGAAATGGACGTTGTACCATCTACCTTACATTAAGTTATCAAATTTCCATCATAATGGGGGATACGACAAATCCGTGGTGACCAACAAGCTTCATGAAGCATTAATTCCGTGGCAGACTCAAACGCAGGAAGTGACAAAAAATAGCAATCACAGAATGCAGTTGAGGACGCTTCAACACGAACCTCAACTGGAGATAGGCAAACAGATGTATATTCGAGGCGTGATACTATTCAGGAAACCAGAGGAAAATGAAAATATCAAAACAACGATCAAATGAATGGAGGCTGTGGAGCTATTTGTACATTGTCCAGACAGAAAAGTCTACATTGGAACCAACCTCAGCCCGGAAATGAAATGTAAGTTGATTGAATTTTTAAAAGCTAACGCAGATTGTTTTGCTTGGTCCCATTCAGATAAGACAGGTATACCACCGGAGGAAATGACCCACAAATTAAATGAAGATCCATCGTACCCACCTATCAAACAAAAGAAAAGGAAGCAAGGCTCCTTCAAGAACCAGGTGATTCAAGATGAAGAGCAAAAACTTTTGAAAATTGGGTCTATCCGCGAGGTAAAGTATCCAGATTGGTTGGCTAATACTGTTGTAGTACCTAAAAAGAATGGTAAGTGGCGAGTTTGTGTAGATTATACTGATCTGAATAAAGCTTGCCCTAAAGATTCTTTTCCATTACCGCACATAGATCAACTAATTGATGCTACTACAGGGCATGAATTGTTAAGTTTTTTAGATGCCTATTCAGGATATAATCAGATTAAAATGGATCCTCTAGATAAAGAAAAGACTTCCTTCATCACAGACAGGGGGACTTACTGTTACAAAGTAATGCCATTCGGACTCAAGAATGCTGGGGCCACATATCAAAGACTGGTGACCAAAATGCTTCAAGAATACCTAGGGAAAACCATGGAGGTTTATATAGATGATATGCTGGTCAAGTGACAACAAGCAGGGGATCATATTCGACACTTGTTTGATACATTTCAGATTCTTCATAAATTTAACATGAAATTAAACCCTGAGAAAGGCGTGTTTGGAGTGTCATCAGGTAAGTTCTTGGGATTTCTTGTTTCTAACCATGGCATTAAAGTAAATCTCGCACAGATTAAAGCTATTGAAGAAATTCCGGATATACTGACAAGTAAAAAGAAGTACAGAGACTGACAGGAAGAATAGTTGCTTTGGGAAGATTTATTTCCAAGTCATCGGAAAAATGCTTCAAGTTCTTTTCAGCTCTAAAAAAGCAAGATCAATTTGAATGGACTGAAGAATGTCAACAGGCGCTTAAAATTTTGAAAGTATACCTATCAAATCCACCATTGCTCGCAAAACCAAAAGATGGGGAAAAACTACTCATTTACCTTGCTGTTTTAGAAGTAGCGGTAAGTGTTGTGTTAATTCGAGAGAACCAAGGTAAAAAATCTTCGATTTATTATGTTAGTAAGTCATTATTAGATGCTGAGACTCGATATCCTCATCTAGAAAAACTTGCACTCGCGTTAATTATGGCATCTAGGAAGTTAAGGCCTTATTTTCAATGTCATCGTATATCTGTAGTAACTGCTTATCCCTTACGTAATATACTGCATAAACAAGAGTTATCAGGTAGACTAGCCAAATGGGCTATAGAGCTAAGCGAATACGACATTACATATCTACCAAGAACTGCAATAAAGTCACAAGTTTGAGCAGATTTTGTGGCAGATTTTAGTCAGGGAATACAACTGGAGGCAGAAAAAGAACTGCAGGTATTTAACGGGTCTAATCCAGGTACTTGGACCTTATTTACTGATGGTTCATCAAATGTAAAAGGAGCAGGTCTAGGCATTGTTTTGGTACTACCTACGAGAGAAACTATACGACAAGCCATAAAATGTCATCCTATTACTAATAATGAGGTAGAATATGAAGTTGTGGTTGCAGATTTAGAATTGGCACGAGAGCTCGGAATAGAGCAAGTCGTAATCAAAAGCGATTCATAGCTCATAGTTAACCAGATGCAGGGGACTTATACAGCTAGAGAGGCGAGGATGCAGCAGTACCTGGAAAAGGCACGAGATTTGGTTAGGCAATTTCAAACTTGGAAAGTCATGCAGATACCAAGGGAAGAAAATGCCGAGGCAGACGCTCTTGCTAATCTTGCGTCTGCTGCAGAAGTAACAAATGAAGAAAATGCTTCTGTGATTCATTTGTTTCATTCAGTACTTGATCAAGATGAAAACGAGGTAAATTACAATAATCTAACTTGGGATTGGAGGAACGAAATTGTCAATTTTTTGCAGTATGGAATTTTACATGAAGATAAGAAAAAGGCTCAAGCACTTCGCAAAAAAGCTGCTCGCTACTGTTCAAATCAAGGCAATCTTTATCGAAAAATGTTCGGTGGTCCTCTAACAAGATGCCTCGGGCCTTCTCAAACAAAATACGTGATGAGAGAAATACATGAGGGACATTGTGGAAATCATGCTGGAGGAAGATCTTTGGTAAAAACCATGATTAAAGCCGGCTATTATTGGCCAAAAATGGAAGAAGACGCGGAAAATTGTGGCAAAATGTGAGAAGTGCCAAAGATATGGTAACAACATGCATCGACCAGCTGTATTATTACATCCAGTCGTTGCACCGTGGCCTTTTATGAAGTGGGGGATGGATATCGTGGGTCCACTACCACAAGCCAAAGGCAAGGTAAGATTTTTATTAGTGCTCATTGACTATTTTACTAAGTGGGTAGAAGCGGGAGCTTTCAAATAGGTACAAGAAAAAGAGGTCAGAGACTTCGTCTGGAGGAATATCATATGCCGATTCGGGGTGCCGAAGGAAATCGTATGTGATAACAGCTCGCAATTCATACGTACACAAATCATAGAAATTTTCCAAAGTTGGCAAATTAAAAGGATTACTTCAACTCCTTACCATCCTGTGGGTAATGGACAAGCTGAATCAACAAATAAAGTCATTATCAACAACTGGAAGAAAAGACTGGAAGAATCTAAAGGCAATTGGCCAGAGATACTACCTGGAGTCTTATGGGCATATCGAATAATAGCAAAAACAAGTACGGGAGAAACACCGTTTTCACTTGAATACGAAGCTGAAGCCTTAATTCCAGTCGAAATAGGGGAGCCAAGCACGAGATATACTCAAGCTACTGAAGAGTCGAATGAAGAAGAGATGCGGGTAAATTTGGATTTACTTGAAGAAAGAAGGGAAACTGCTATGATAAGGATGACAGCACAAAAACAAGTTATTAAGTGGTATTACAATCGGAAGGCTCATCTCAGATACTTCAATATTGGGGACTACGTACTTAAGAAAGTTTTCCAATCCATGAGGGCAGTTAATGCAGGAAAATTAAGTCCAAATTGGGCAGGACCTTACAAGATTCATGGAATCGCAGGAAAGGGTGCATATGAGCTTGAAACCTTGGACGGCTTACCCTCTAATTCGAATGTTGTTCATCTGAAGAAGTACTATTTCTAAGGAAAGGAAATACCCACGGTCAGGTATCCTTAATTTACAATTTTATTTTTTGTTAAAATCATACTAACGATTTTAGATGATAGGCAAAAAGCTAGCCCACACTAAATGATGAATTTAGACCTAAAAGACACGCGGAAAAACATAATTCCCCGTCTAGGGTTGTAACTATTCTGATAGAAATAGAATGGGTTAAGCAGTCTACATCTAAAGTTATACCTCCGAGTCCCGTATGTTTTTCCTTTTCAGGAAAAGGACCACATGGAAGGAATAATCAAGTGCTCAAGATTTTATACTTCAAAACTCAAATACTTGGGGGACTATATAATATACATACACTATGTGTATAAGGAAGGCAAAAAAGACTGGAACAATTAAATCTCAAGTCAAGATTGCAGTCTACTCAACAAGTGTAAAGTTCAGGGCAAAGTCACGAGCCAATAACACAAGCCTGATCAAAAAACCTATGAAGAATACACTCGTGGATACAGATTTCAAAATCTTGCGATGTTTAGGTTAAAGGCAGTATTTAGCCTAAAGGTAGTATTTAGCCTTGTGTCATAAAGAAACCTGATGTTTTATACTTCAATACCACACAAGAGGGGGGTGATTTGTGTGGTACCCAATTTTCGCATAACTTGATTATAGAAGGACCTGGTTCTTCTATGTGTTCCAACTACTACTGTTTGCGGAATAGTAAGTAAAGAAAATAAAGAACACAGAGATTTTTACGTGGAAAACACCTGGCTCAAAAGGTGAAAAAAAACCACGGCCTACTACTCAGTAGGATTTTCCCAAACTTCCACTAAAATCACTGAGCCAAAAACCGCATTCACAAAAACTCTTTTGTAAACCTAGGATTAACTCTAATCTCGTTGTGGCACACAACCTCAACTGCTGCGACAACTTCAAGTAACTCTAACTTGAACACTCTAAGTACCTAATATAATTGCTTCTATAAAAGCTGAAAGGTACAATGTAAAATCACCTACTACAATTGAACTAGAATAAAAGATAGACACTTGGAACTGGTTCTTCTATCTGGTTCAAGTAGCTTCAGGATTGCACGCTTGAATCACACATAAATTGCTAGCAAAATTGCTTCGCTATTTTGCTCTCAATTCACGTTTAACTTATGCTTATGTGCATTACCTGTAAAAGAGAACAACACTGATATTTAAGGAGTTAGTCATAAGAGATTTGGCTAGGATACAGATGCTACTCTTCCATTGTGAAAGAGTTCTAGTTGATCTCATACTCTAACTCTTATCCTTTTCTTAAACTGTGTTCTCTTTGTATAAGGAGTCTCTCTCCTTATCCAATATGCAACATTTTTGATCATGATCGGGAGATATCACTCTGATAAGTTAGGTTTATCTCCTTCACGTGCATCTCACATGTTTGGGTTGATCACTACTGTACCTCACAAGATAGACCTGGTTCATGACTGAGTTCTTTTGTTACTCTTCAAAACTTCACTCTTACTTGCGCCAACAAATTTCCCCTTTTTTATGAAGACAAACTCTGTGCTTTTTACTTGCTTAGGCCCTGTAAGAACTCAGCTGATTCATCAATACAAAGTTTAGAAAAATTCACTTATCATCAAGGACCAGGTTAATTAGTTTATAAACATCACATATTCAGAATATGTAAAGCACAATATCTCTTCCCCCTTTTGGCATCATCGAAAAGTTGCATAAACAAAGTGTGGTTCCCAGATTTTAATAAGTACTCATGGCCACTGGGGCAACTGCAAGTGCAATCATGGATTAATCATCAGTAATCAAACAAACATATTTAAACTATCAAGGAAATATTAACAGTCAACAAGAGCAAAAACAGTAGATCTCATTGATAGAAGATATGTTGCTACCACAATCCAGAACTAGAAAGCAAAAATATTCAAAACATGAGCAAAAAGAAAGAAAAATCCCTAATTTGGGTCACTGAAGATACTAGACAGGTTCAGGAGACAAAGGCTAGAATTCCTAAGGCTTGGAGGAGCTAGAGGGTTGGTTTTGGGCTTGGAGAAGATTCAGCATATTGTGAAGAATCCCATCTTCTTCTCCTTTTCCTTGGTAAGCTCAGTTCTGAGAGCATCCCTCTCAGATTCAACCTCTGCCACACGAGCCTTTAGCCTAGCTATCTCAGCATCCTTGGCCTCACTTTCCTAAACAAGAGCCCTGACTTTACTGTTGATAGGTATCTTCTTGATGAACCAGGTTCATTTGGAATGGCATTGACTAAATAGTCACAAGCAAGCAGAATATTAATGCCAAAATAATCCTTGCTTGTGGCCATTTCCCACTTCTTCAGAGGCACATTGCACCTATCCAGAACAGTAGTCAGAATAAACCCATAAGGGGTGGCATGAGCCTTGGAGCCATTGATGACACTGTCCAGTAGCTTGATGATGAATGCAGGCCAGTTAATTTGCCTTCCACTTTCAAGGCACTCCATCAGAACTAAGTCCATATAGTTAGCAATATGCCTTCTCTCCTGCCTGGGCAGTAGGCACTTGTTAACAAACTCAAAAATGACTTTGTGTTGTGGCTTCATTTCACTTTTGTGCACAAACTTGGCCTCATTCACTTCTTCAACATCATAGAATCTCCTAGTGATTGCAAGGGCAGAAGGAAGGGAATCCAGACTAGGCCATCTTTGCCTAGTATAGTCATCATATCCCTCAGCAGGGATGTCAAGAATTTCTCCCAGCTTCTTTGCATCGAAGGTCACTTGGACTCCTTTGACTTTTCTTGTAACTCTGCCATCTTTGACCTCAGCATTCGCCATGAATTCAATAATTTCATTTCTGGCCAATCTCCCATCCATCTGAAGGACCATGTCCTTCTAGCCTTGAGCAGCTAGGGTGTCAACCAAACGAACCATTCCTGGTTCCACCAAATCTTTCAGCAATCTTCCCTTCAGAATTTTTCTTTTGCCAAACATGGCCATCTTGTCTTGTTCACCCTCAGACTCATTCTCTTCTTCACCACTCCATTCCTCATCTTCAGAGATTGTAACTTGTTTGGTTTTCATTGCAGACCTTGTCCTCTTGGCCAATGCAGGCTCAGCAGTCTTAGACACAGATGAAGACTTCTTGGGAGGAGTCTTGGTCTTTTTGGGTTTGGGGGTATGAACCTCCACTGTTGTATCTTTCTCCTGATGGACCTGTTCCATCTCCTCAACATCAACAGCTTCAGAGGATTCTGCAACCTTACCCTTTCCTTTGTCCATCCTCTTTCTCTTGCTTTCAGCCAAAGCTTTTTGAAAGTCACTCTCAACCTGTTTCACTCTACTCCTTGTGGCTCTTCCCCTTGGCAAAGGAATTTCAGTAGTTGTTGAGGAGGAGGACTTTCGTTTCTTGGAAGGTTTAGCAGTGCTGGGGGCTTTTGGTGTAGGAGTTCTCCTCTTCTTTGGATCATAACTTGCTCCTACCTTTTTAAGAAGGTCTGCTAGGGTTTCTTCAATTGATGAACCAGGTTCATCTCCCTGTGAACTTAAATTAACTAACCCCTCAGCAGCCTCCCCTGAGCCACTTCCCCCTGACTTCTTGCCACTTTCTTCCACAGTTTCCTGTGCAACCCCACAAATAGCTGGTACAGGCAATTCAGAAGTGGGTGAGGAATCATCCATTCCTTTCCCTTTTCCCCTTACATCACCACATTCACCCTCTCTCTCTTTTTCTTTTTCAATTTTCTTTTTACTTCCACTCCTTGCTAACTTAGGTATTTCCACATCCCTGATAGGCCCAACCAAGACGAACCTATTTTCTAAATTTTCAGGCAAAGAAGAACTTACCTTAGAAGGGGATTTTTGAGCCTTCTCCGAGTCAGAAGACACAGGTCCTTCCCCTTCACTAGCAGATTTGTACGAATCAGAATCAGAGTTAGAATCTTGGACCTGACTTGCCTTTAATTTCTCGTTCAATTTCTTTGACAAAGCACCAGATGCCACCGTTTTGCGAGCAAGCATTTTTACTCGCCTTCTCCTAGGTTGGGGAGTCGTGCTAGGTGGAGGAGGGGTGGATGAATCAGAGGGAGTAGGTCGTGGAGGAGTTCCAGGGTTATCTTGGGGGTTCGACATTATAGCTTATTTCTTGAGAGAGTTTGAGAGTTGAACTTTTAGAGAAGAAGGCAATTTACAATGAAGAAGGTTTTTGACGGTTTTGAATTATGAGGGTGGCAGGAATTTGTAATGAGTATTTAAAGGGAAAGACTCATTTAATGGATAACGGTAGCTTTAGCAGTCAATTAGAGGTCTAATCAACCTGAAATTACAGGTTGAACGAACGGTTAGGCTTCCCTAGATTTTAGGCAATTTTTGTGGTGAGAATTCTAATAAGGTCGGAACTGGTTCAAAAACAAACGGATAGAATTTTCTGGGGTGTTGAACATTGGTAGGACTCTGCTCATGATTTAAATATTTAATTTTCTAATTGTGCAGAGTATAGAAAACATACCTTGTCGTTCAAATGAACTACTACTGATGAACCAGGTTCTTTATTTAGAATTCTCGTGATCATGCCTCAATTTACCAAAATAGAGAAAATTCTGTTAGAGATCAGCGAGTCATATCAACACAAGTTACAAGAGTATACTATTTACAGTATGAGACTAAGTAAAAATTAATCAGGATATTTACACAAGTTCCAGATTTACTAGCCAAAAAAAATCAATTTTTTTTCTTTTTTTTCTTTTTTCATTGTGGATTCTGAATTGGTCCCATTAGGTGATCTTAATCATCCCTAATTCTAACATGTTCCTCTCAAAGCTTTCTCTACTCAATGTTTTAGTAAAGATGTTAGCAATTTATTTATCAGTAGCACAGAATTCTATAGTAATCAATCCTTTCTCATAGTTGTCCCTTAAGAAATGATGTCTAACATCTATGTGCTTAGTCCTCTTACGATGAAATGGGTTCTTTGTCATACTTATAGCACTAGTGTTATCACAGAAAATAGGGATGCAACCAATTTTAATGCCAAAATCCATTAGTTGCTGCTTGATCCACAGCAGTTGGGCACAACAAGAGGCAGCAGCAACATACTCTGCCTCGGTGGATAAGGCCACTGAATTCTGCTTTTTAGTGGCCCATGATACCAGACATGAGCCAAGAAAATGAGCCATACTTGAGGTGGTTTTCCTATCCACAAGGAAACCTGCATAGTCAGCATCAGCATATCCTACTAGATTAAAGTTACTACCTTTAGGATACCAAAGACATAGATCAGTAGTGCCTTTCAAATATCTCAGTATCCTCTTGACAGCAGTTAAGTAGGATTCCTTAGGATTGGCCTGAAAACGAGAACAAAGCCCTACACTGAAAACTATGTCAGGTTTGCTAGCAGTAAGATACAAAAGTGAGCCAATCATTCCCCTATACAACTTTTGATCAACAGATGAACCAGGTTCATCTATGTCTAATTTAGTTGATGTTGCAATGGGTGTGTCTATTTCTTTTGATTCATCCATTTTAAACTTCTTAATCAACTCTTTTGCATATTTCTACTGATGGATCATGGTTCCATTTGGGTTTTGTTTGATATGTAAGCCTAAGAAAAAATTAGGCTCACCCATCATACTCATTTCAAATTCACTTCCCATTAATTTTGCAAAATCCTTACTCAGTTTTTCAGTGGTTGCCCCAAAGATTATGTCATCAACATATATTTGTACTACTAGTAGATCCTTACCTTTTTCCCTCAAGAATAGAGTGCTGTCATTCTTACCTCTTTTGTAGCCATGTTCAAGCAGGAATTTGGATAGACGTTCATACCATGCTCTAGGAGCCTGCTTGAATCCATATAAGGACTTGTCCAATTTGTATACATGATTTGGACATTCTCTACCATTGAGGAAGGCACTCTTCATATCCATTTGGTGAAGGGTAAATTCCATGCTGCAGGAGGAGTCTTCTCCAGTCTTGCTACTGGAGCAAAGGTCTCATCATAATCTATGCCCTCCTCTTGGCTATAGCCTTGGACCACTAGCCTTGCCTTGTTCCTTGTAACTGTTGCCTCCAGTCTTGCTACTGGAGCAAAGGTATCATCATAATCTACGCCCTCCTCTTGGCTATAGCCTTGGACCAAGACCCATTTAGTGCCAATCACTAACCTGTCCTTGGGTCTTGTGACCAGATGCCACACTTGACTTCTTTCAAACTGATTGAGTTCATCTTGCATTGCATTCACCCAATATGCATCCTGCAAAGCTTCAGCAACATTTCTAGGTTCAATAAGAGATAAGAATGCATCAAAAGCACACAGATTCTTTAATTGAGATCTGGTTTTAACTCCAAAAGTTGGATCAGTAAGGATGTTCTCAATGGGATGAGAACTTTGATACTTGTAAGGTTTCACGACCAACTGATTTTTGTTTGGAGTTTCTCCCATGTTTTGTTGTTGAGGAATAGGCTCATGAACAGGTTCCATTTGGGAGTTAGATTCATTTCTTCTTTGTTCAGTTCCCCCTGCCAAGTTTCCCCGGATGGAAGAACTTGTTCCATCACCTGTTCCTTCTTTTGGTGCATCTTCAGCTTGAGCTGTGACTTCACTCAAGTCTCTTACCAGCCCAATGGCTTCATCTTCATGTTCCTATCTCTCAGAAAGAATGTTAGTTTCATCAAAAATAACATGTACACTTTCTTCTGCACACAAAGTTCTTTTGTCGTACACTTTATAAGCTTTGCTATGTGAAGAATATCCGAAGAATACTCCCTCATCACTTCTGGGATCAAACTTACCTAGGGAGTCCTTTCCATTATTGTGCACAAAGCACTTGCATCCAAATGCCCTAAGATGGGATATATTTGGTTTTCTCCCTTTAAGTAACTCTTAAGGAGTCTTCTCTACAAGAGGTCTGGTCATGCACCTATTTATGATTACAACCTCTGCCCATAAGCTATGAGGCAGTTTACTAGAAAGAAGCATAGTCCTAGCCATATCTTCAAGAGTTCTATTCTTTCTTTCAACTACTCCATTTTGTTGAGGAGTCCTAGGTGCAGAGAAATTATGACCTATATCAAGATCATCAGAAAATTCAGCAAACTTAGCATTTTCAAATTCAGTTCCATGATCAGACCTAATTGGTGCAAGTTGATTTCCTAGTTGTTTTTGAGTTTTTCTAACAAAGGCAGTGAACATGTCAATTGCTTCATCCTTAGATGTTAAGAAAAATACCCAAGTAAACCTAGAGTAATCATCAACAATTACCATCACATATTTCTTACCACCTCTGCTCAATTTTCTCATTGGACCACAAAGATCCATATGGACCAGTTCCATCGTCCTGGTCGTGCTTACCATCTTCTTGCTTTTAAAAGGGGATCTTACCTGCTTCCCCCTTGCACAAGCCTCACAAACTTTATCTTCCTTGAACTTGATGTTAGGTAATCCTATCACCAGGTCCTTGGAGACTAATTTGTTGAGTTGATTTAGACTTGCATGACCAAGTCTTTTGTGCCACAGGAGGGGATCATTGTCCAACACACTCAAGCAAGTGAGTTCATTTTCTGATATAGTGGACAAATCTACAATGTAAATATTGTTAACTCTTTTTCCCTGCAAAACAATCTTGTTAGTGGTAAGATTAATCACAAAACATTTTGTAGAGGTGAATGCTACCAAGTTACCTCTGTCACACAGTTGTGATACACTGAATAGGCTATATATCAAGCCATCTATCAAGTAGACATTCTCAATGGAATGTGAGTCTGTCTTACCTACCTTTCCAACCCCAATAATCTCACCTTTCTTCCCATTTCCAAAGAAGACATTACCTCCTTTTAAGTCTTCAAGTGAAAGGAACTGGATCTTACTTCCAGTCATATGTTTTGAGCAGCCACTATCCATGTACCATATTTGGCTACTTCCCTTCACTTGGACCTACAAAATGAAATCAGGGGTTAGTCTTAGGAACCCAACTAGTTTGGGTCCCTTACTATAGGCAAAAGGGTGAATTAAATTCCTTTTGGCCCATCCTGGCAGCTTGTTTTTCTCTTGAACAAAGGTTTTGTTCTTTTGACTGGCCTTTTCCTTTGCTTTACATTCACTTTCGTAATGACCAGTCTTGCCACAGTGTGTGCAGATTTTATTTTCAGGAAGTGTGATGTACTTGCTTTTGGGATCCCACTTAGGTTCTGGGGTCCCATAGCCAAGTCCTGTCTTGTTGCTACTGTGGTGCTCTTGTAGCCAAGATAGTGCATCAGAAGACTTATTCCATTTGCAAGTTCTGTATAGTTCATGCTTTACCTTCCCTATGTCTTCTTTTAAGACTCTTATTTGTTCATCTTTCTTGTACAGCTCATCCTTCATTTTTCCTAGATTTTCTTCTAAGGTAATATGTGTGTGATCAGGCTTCTTCTTACCTGTTCCTAATTTCAGTTTTAAATTTTCAGATCCAAGTTCTAAGATACTAGTGTCAAGTTCAAGAACCCGGTTCTTCAACTCAGTATTTTTACTACCACTCTCACTAGCCCTAGATTCTAGATTTTTGCACTTGGCTATTAAGATCACACACTCCCTAGACAGTTATTCCTTCTCATTGTTTATTACCTTAGACTCATCAATGAAGTCTAGCAATAATTCAGATTACCTTTCTTTAGACAAAAATTTAATCTTGTCTTTGAGATGAATCACACTTACCTCTTGTTCATCATCTGATTCTCCAATGGCCATAAGTGCTTGTTCATCTCCAGCTTCATCTTCTGAATCCTCATCTGAGGTTTCTCCCCAAGCAACAACCATAGCCTTTGTTGATCCTTTGTTCCTTTTGGATTGAACTTGTTCCTTCTTCCTATTCCTTCGTTCAGCCCTTTCCTTCTTCCATTCGATTTCCCACTGAGGAAAATTCTTGATCATGTGGTCAGTCTTGCCACATTTGTAGCAGCCCTCGTTGGTCTGTTTCTCAGGAGCCCTTGGTTTGTTGAAGGTTGTACCTCTTGAAGAACCCTTTCCTCTCAACAGGTACTTCTTGAAATCCCTTGTGATCATGGCCATTTCATCATCCTCTAGATCTGCACCTTCAGCTACTCTGAGAGCGAGGCTCCTTTCCTTTTTGGGTGCATCCATTTTCATGGTTTGCCTT